AGCGAATCCCACGGAAAAGAAGTTTCTCAATTTACTGCATTCTTTTATTTTAGATATTACAGTGAATGTACTACCTACTCGTAATACATTTAAATAAAAAAAGCAATAGATCAAATAATATTTAACCTGACCACAACGAGATACGAAATAACTACAAATCTAAGCTACAGTGACCACGAAGCACAAATTCTTATAATTACTAATAACATGAACACCAACACAATAAATAATACACGCGTGTGCAGAGCATTCTCTAATGTTAACACAAAATTTACGGACTACTTGCCGAAGGAATCATGAGTCACAGTGTATTGTTGTATGGTGTTGACACATATGAAAAATATATTTTTCTCAAATCTTTCATTTTACTTCAACGCATGTTTTCTTCTCAAAAAAAGAATATTAAACATTTCATGGACAAATAATACTTGAATTACATAAGGAATTAAAACATCGTGTAAAAAAGGTATGCTTTACATTATTTCTAAACATCGTATCGTGTCACCCGGTTTCCATGTCTATTTCCGAGAATGCAAAAGAATTTTACGAAAAGTAATAATTCAGGCAAAAATATTGAAAAAGGATCAGGGTATCTTGAACGCTAGTAACAAAACTAAAGCAATGAGGAAAATCGTGAAAAATACGACCGTACCACCTCGTTACTGAGAAGAATGTTTTAAAGTAAAATGATAAAAAAGTAATCCGGAAAAAGTGGTCTTCAACCAAGATTTTTCTAGAATTGCCGCTGAATTCACAAAGATACTAAAACCACACAATTAAACATAATTCTCTTCTGAAAAACAAATGGACACGATTTTTATTTCCAAAACCACTTCTAACGAAATCCTGAGAATATTCAGTAAACTAAAAAATAAATATTCATCGGGCTTCGATGTATTTCTGGATTGTTTATTGAAAACTTGTATACATGCCTTAATACACTGTTAACTAGTGGTATGGTTTTGAAATGAGCTTTCTGGTGGTGTGTTAAGCATCTTGTTAAATCAAGGACGTTCACACAAAAACTAGACTTTTTTTTCTGGCGGAAAGGTCATAATTGATCTTTCATTTTCAGTTCCGATAAAGAATGGTATATATTTTGTTTGTTTTTTATTTGAAAGAGTGGTGTAATTTGTCATAAATGGAAGAATAGTTATTTGCTGTTGAAAATAATGCCTTTGATAAATGAAGACAAGACAATCTGTTTTGGAACACTCTTGTTATTTCGCAATCATTAAGGGCAGGTTTTCATGGACAGAACAATAATAATTAGTTCTAATGTTCTTTAAATCAAAAAGTTTTGTAAATTCTATACAATTTATATTATACACAGTAAGAGGTTGCCATAACTTCGAAATAATAAATAAAATATAATAACTTATGATTTCTATTCTTGTTGCCATTTTTAGAAATGCAATTGTACATTTAGATTTAGGATGTGTAAAATATTAATTAATGTTAGTGTAATTGTATTTGTTTCAGGAGAATTTTGCAGAGTGCCCGCCCTTCTATAACACATAAAGACGTCATTCACCTTTTGTTGCATTGACCTCCTCAGGTGACAAGCGGATGTCGTGGATACGCCATTTGACACAGTCCAGCGAGCAGTTCTGCTGGCAGAATACAAGAAAGGGGGTATTTCTTTTATCGTTGAGTTTGGAGGGGCTTTGATGAAGACGTTCACATTTTGCTAATTATTTGAGAGTGTGTGTATAAGTAGGCGAATCAGTTTATGATTGATGTTCAAGGTTGGTGGGGTGAATGTGAATGTGAGGGTGAGTGGCAAATTGTTAGGTGAATGGTAATTTGTAAGTTGGGGTGAATGAAAGGGGTGGCTGTGTGAATAAAGAATTTTCCGGGTTATGGCCAACACGCGTGTACCTACGATTGGTAAGCTTTGTAGATTGGTTGGATTGGTGCAGAATTGTCAACGAGTCCGTTGAATGATAGGTTGAATGGATGGGGAAAGAGAGTTTTATTGCATATTATTTTCGGGAGGGCTCTTAAGTTAGGCAAGGTGGCTACATGACTGACTGTTCAATACATTTCTTTGTTATTTGCTTAGTTTCTGTGTTTCTGGTAGTTCAATACTCTGCTTGGTATTGTGTGAGTGGCAGGATGGCCAGGTAAAATTTTAATTTGCTGTTTGCGATAGCCATTACATACCCTGAATACGCTGCAATTAATAAGAGTTTGAATCCATCTTTCGCTTGCATAAACAGTATACTTGGTGCCTAGAAAGATTGTTGGGTTGGGTCCGGGTCGGTCCGGGTCGGTCCGGGTCGGTCCGGGTCGGTCCGGGTCGGTCCGGGTCGGTTCGGGTCGGTTCGGGTCGGTTCGGGTCGGTTCGGGTCGGTTCGGGTCGGTTCGGTGCGATCAAGCAGAGCAGACACATTGGGGTGGCCCGGTCCTCCACTCCTCCAATGCGGTAAGTACATAAACCTCGTGCCCGCCCTTTAAGTGGCTGGGCTAGTGCGCCCCCTTGCAGTGAAAGTGACTACGGGAGACGCAGCCTTGTCTACGGTGTTCGGATTGGTTGCCACACATCTAGACTCGTCTAGGTTACACTAGTATGCACTCCGTACGACAACGTTGCTCCGACAGTATAGTTTCAGGCACATCACAGGATCTTAAACCGTCAATGACAACGTTCGAATTTGCCGTTTCAAATTGTGGTTTCAAATTATGGTTCGCGATCGTGTCGCGGAAGAAGATAGGTGTAGGCGACTGGGCGTGTAGGTAGAATTTTTATTTATGATAGCCATGACGTACCGTGATAAATTGTTCGTTGCATGTCAATAGCGCTTGAATCTGATCTTGCGTACGAATAAACGGTATGCTAATTTCCGAAAGATAATGGTGAGGCGAGCAGGGTGCAGGCCAATACTTTAGGGACAGGGTGCTCCGGTGCTCTTAGCCTTTAGTCCCCGGTGCTTTTAGCTTTTACTCCTCCGGTATGCATAAAACTAGAGACTCGTGGGCCGTTTCTGAAGCCACAGCCCCTTACGGTGAATGTGGCTATGGAAGACGCAGCCTCGGATGTGGTAGTCGGACTGCTTGCCACACATCTAGACGTGCCTAGCTCACGTTCAAATACGCTCCGTACGCCAACATTGCTCCAGCCGTCTCGTTTCTAAACGACTGTAAAAATAACAGATATTCTGTAAAAATAACAGAAATTGCGTAAAGAATACTTATAAATCCCAACTTTCGTCATGTAAAAGTAAACTCAATAAAGGCTTAACGATTGCGATGGTTTCTGTACAATAAACTTAATTTATATTCTCGAAGAGTATGCTGTATTCTTATGATAATGGTCCAGAATTTATAAATGACAGGGACAGAGTATTATAAAGTATCAAAATAAAAGGGGAGGAAAAAAACTACACAATCGTCTCAATGATCATTAATGATCTCTGGCACGTCAACTACTGACCTTCTTAGTTCCGTAAATGCATTTTTTTTCTCCAGTGGTGGTGGTAGTTGTCTTCTTCCGCTGTAGATTACATTCGGCGCCGACCTACTATCTGCTCGCGGGGTTTTCATCAACCAGGTGCCTCACCAGTGGAGCACAGCCCCTGACGGGGTAAGCTCTAAGCACTCAAAGGACTCCCAGCATGTGTGGTAGTGTAGTGCACAGATTGTGTAAGGGCGTGAGGATTGGACGGGGAAAGAGGAGGGTATGATCATGGTGGTTTCTAACCAAATTGTTAGGGTTATACTCCAGCATTCGCCTACTATTGATAGGAGAAGCTACGAAAAACTATCCGTCAGGACTGCCAGCTGCTAGAATTTTCCCGCCGACAGTGACTAAATTCAACCTCGCTAACAAACTAGTGCTGAAAATTATCCAATCGATAGACTCGAATGAAAGACTCGTGTTCAGAGGGGCTTGAGTAACATCAATAGACCATGCACCAAGCCATCTCTAATGGTCATTCGTCTCAAGATAATGGTTCTCTGTCAAATACTTTCTAGCTGTGAGTTGCAAGGTATTTTATAGAGGTGAAAATTTAAATAACATCAGGGGATTGATGAAAACTACAATTCGATTTTCTAAAAAGAGACGTGCATACCATAATTATGAAGAATGCACAGAAAAACTTCGATTAGATTAGAAAATTAGAATATTACATATAAAACACTATAATGTA